TGGGCCATTTGGCGAAGACTTTATCGCACCTTTATCAGAAAATTGTTTCCTCTCATTAAGTGAACCAAAAATAATGTGCTGTCTTACCAGCCGCGCCCAGTCAGGAAAAGGTCAACTCACAGTGCGGTTGGACAGTTTTCTGGTCGTGCCAACACTGTCCCGCCGAGGACGAGATTGATGACTTCCAAGTTAACTTGTCCGTAGAACGGGTCGGCTCCAAGAGTCATTACTTCCCAGCAGGTGACTGCATATGCCCTTGAAAAAATAAAGCAAATGGATGGGCAGTTAAACTAAAATGAGCACACGCGTTCTGTTCCTGTCAATCTACAACTCCAACTGTAGGTTGGCTTGATACTTCAAGTAAGGACAAAATTCGTTCAGGTTATCAAACAGTGTTGCAACCATTTTCAAAATGGCTGATTACGCAACTAAGTGTGACTAAATGCAATGCGGGCGAACGCCCCAACGCTTTCGTATACCGAATTCATGCTTACCTGTGGAATGTAGAAAATGTTACTTTTAAAACCATATCGAGTTACTGTTTAGTTCGGAAATCAGGCTATTGTTATGAATTTTCCAAACGCAATTGATTGAAGCTACATTAGCGATTAGCACAGACACCGGCATGTTAACGTGTTTTGAAAATTTCAGTGACTCTCGATGACTTGGTGACTGTGGAAGAGGTGGAAGTTCCTTCAAGATGACATGAACAAAACATCTGTTTGTTTTTTAAGGATATTTTCCTTGCGCTTTCTTTACATTTACACAGCAGAAGTAGCCTTTGTAACTTCCTAAGGGCTAAGTAGATTCCTGGCAGGTTGGATTAAAAAAGGTTTTACTTTATTCTCGACATCTTCATATAAAACAATTAGGGATTATACCCCTCAGGTTTCCTGAAAATTAGCATATTAAACCCTACACAACTAGGCCAAGGGACGTGAACCGGTCACATTATTGGCGGCAGGCACCACCCTTGAAACACGTGGCCCCGCCGGCTCAGAAGGGGCTCAGAAGGGGC